GGAAGGGGGGAAATGGGAAAAAGAAAGAGACTGACAGAGAAACAGTGATTTTATATCCTGAAATCACAGGTATCTGAAACAAGTTCTACCTGGACACTTCTCATATTTTTACCAGATGAACCAAAATTTTCCTTTCACTTTTTAGTTATGGTTCCACAACCAGTTCTTGACAAATACTAATCCAATTCACTTTAAAATAAAATTTCCATATGTAAATGATTTTATAGTTAACAAGCCAAGCCATGTTCTAGTGGCTTCTAGAATTTGTCCCCAGGCTCTGAGCTAAACCATACTACTGTAGAAGGGAGGGTTTTGACCCATCTGAGCAATTACAGGAGTGGGGATGGGCCTCTGGAGGGGCTGATGGGTCTGCATGACCTCAAGTGCTGAAGCAGCAATAAGCTGGATCCTCACATGTTTCTCAGGCTCTGTTGACTCATAATACTTGATGTAATTCCACTGCAATCTTTTGAATTGAAGAATTTTTAGGTGTTCCATTGGTACTTCCTTCAAGACTACTGAAGTTCAGTTATCTAGAATCTTTCTGTCAGCAGTAGATAATTTTGAAGCAGAAATAGCCTTCTCTCAGGCTCTCACAGTCTTGCAGGGAGCAGATGGTTAAGAACAAGAAGGAGCATACAATAGACTTATTTTTTTTTTATTCTAGCCGAAACTCAGTAGAAGTCATACGTTGTGATGATAATAAAGTAATACTTAAAATATGGCTACATCTTAAAACACATAGCATTAATTTTATTAGAAAAATCATCTATGGGTCTTAATTCCAAAGCTGACCACAGATAGTACTTGCTGTAAATACTACAGATTTATCATAATGCATCTTATGTTACTTTTACTAAAGAGAATTCACACATACATACTGGTGTTCAATCTGCCTTTCACCTAAGTATATATCTCAATTATTTTGTACTTTTAAAAAATTATCCTATTTGTTATATCTTGTGCTTTTTAAATAATTTTCAGATAATGCATGCTATGTGTTGAAAAGAAAATCTTAGTGTCTTTTTTAGCACTACAAGCGGTGTGTCAGTCTCATAATCTGAAAAAAAAATCTTGATTATCAAAATTCCACAACATAGAGCTAACTGCTGTCAACATTTGGTTTATTTTTTCCAGACATATATATGCATGTGAATCCATATTGTTACACTCTCAGGTTGCAAAATTTGGATCACATTACATGTAACATTTTGTATTTTTTTCAGGCACACAGTATTATAGCCTAAATTTATTTCTGTGCCAGTGGATGTACATTAACAACTTCATTTTTATGATTAATACATTATTTTCATATCATTTATCATTTATTCAATCAGTTGACTGTTTCTGATCATTTAAGTTACTGTAGATGTTTTGATATATGAGTGTGTGGTAACTATGTCTTTGTGGTTACATTCATATGTGTGTAACTTCAGGATCAAATTTTGTGAAACAATATATTTGGATTTAATTTCGATTTTTATTGAGAAGACAGTAATAGCCTCTTCTCTCCTTATAGTCTTGAGTGTTTAGTTTAGAGAATTTAACAGAGCTTTACTTAATTATCTTTTTCTCATTATAATACACAGATGACTCTTAAAAGTTATTCTTCATCCGAAACTGATGTTAACATTGAAAGTGACACTGAAACAGTGCTAGACTCCAGAGTGTCATTTAAATGTCACTATATTTTCTCTTTGAAGGTTGGCTTTATTTTATTTTATTTTTTTGAAGGTTGGCTTTAAACAATTAACGGTGCTTTAAAAAATTTCTTAGTGTTACTTTTGCTCCAAGTATGTACATACAGATACATTTCTAATATGATCAATTGAAGCACAGTCCCCTAATTCAACAATGAAAGGATGCTTATTTTCTACTGTGGGTTATATATAATCTATTTTTTCACACTCCTCTAGTATAATATATTGAAATGTGTATAGATATAGATACATTTGCCAACATCACCACTGTTGATAGCAGGTTGTAACACAGACTGCAAAATGTTCCTCAATGAGCCTCTTTTATAGTAATAGCATATTTACCTGTACCTGTGACTACTCAGAATAAAGATTGTATTTTCAGCCTCTTTTTCAGGACATGATCATAAGTTCAAATAATGACAAGAAGAATGTCAGTAGAAATAGTCAGTACCAACTCTGAAGTGTCTTAGCAAAGAATATGCCTTTCTTCTTTCCATTTTGTCTTCTTGTCAACATCAATAGGAGTTTTAGTAATTGAAAGTAGAAAAGACATTTTGAACCACATAAGGATGGAGATTGCATACAAAGCAAAATGACATCAAAAGAATGCGAGTCACTGACACTGCAGAGCAAGCACCAGATCTGGGCTGTTTACCTGAACTTTTATGTTGGACAGAAGGAAGCATCTATCTTGGGGTTCTGTCACTCACCGCTTAAATTAAACACAGGGGAAACAGAAAACACTACTTTTTCTTAAAATACAAATTTATTTCTTTTAATAGGAGGCTAATTACTTTACAATATTGAAGTGGTTTTGTCATACATTGACTTTACTTTTTAATATCTAAATTAACCAAGGATTTTTGTTTTTTTGATAATAAATGTGTGAAATACATATATATGTATTTATGCACATACACACACATATATATACTTACTATATGTGTGTGTATAAATACATATATATATGTATATGCTTTTATTACTTGAAATAAAAATCAGGGTTAAATAATTGCAAAATTCCCAAATTACTTTTAAAAGTTATATTTTCAATATATACAGTTGTCATTTACTATTATAATCTGGTGTATACATGTAACTATGTGCCATGAATGGCATGATTTTCTGTAGAATTTTTTTTTAAATTTTTAGACAATGAAAATACTCAGATGTCATCATGTTCTTTATGCGGAAGCAATATTAAAAGGATTTAAAAATATATATATAGAGAGAGAGAGATTTAAACCCTCTAAACTTTAAAATTCTCCTTGAGTTTTTGAAGGGCACTTTTAAGAACTGACTTGGAAGATGCTGTAGAAGTCTTTTGAAACATAAACATTTAGCTTTTTTTCCTTTTATCTGAAGCAGGAATCTTGCTATAAAAGAATTTCATACTTACCCTGGTGGACATGTTAGTGAAAGTAGAATAAAGCTTTTTCCTACCTGCCACTGTTTACTTTGTCATTTCTACTAAAAATTGTTTGCATCTGTATTTCCCATGAATGAGACACAATTTCTATGTTACTAGAAAATTTTCAAGGGCAACTCAATAGTTAAAATGTAGCTTTGCTAAGGTTTTGGCTTTCTGTAAAGTTAAACCTTCTAACTGACTCATTAAGTTGAAGGAGAACAATAATGAACCTGCTGGAAATTAGGGTTCTATACATTTGCAAAAGAAATGGATTTCCATTCTTGATGACTAAGTCATTCTTTATTTCTACAGTGGTCTGTATCCACAACATTGCTTTTCTTGCTTGTATTTTGATTAGTGGCTGAGAACACTTGTTGTCAGACTCCTTCTCTACCACAGTCAAATAAAATGAATGCACTTGTCAATATGTACACCTATGGCTGATTCATGTTGATGTTTGACAGAAAACAACAAGATACTGTAAAGCAATTATCCTTCAATTAAAAAAACAAATGAACCTTCACTCTTAGATGTTAAGCAGGTTTAGTGACAGTTCTGGGTCAAAATTTTAAATGCCATTTTATTACTACTCTGACCTCTGAATACAAAAATTCTCTCTGAGGTTCTAGGCCTTTTGTTTCTTAGAATTCTTTACTTTGTCATTTTCATCCTTGATTAGTTTCCTCAAATAAAGCCATGTTTACCTAAGTATGTTTTGCCATGACCACTTCTTCCTTAGGTGAATTCTCTGATCTTTCATTTTGATTTGCCTGAATTATTGTGACTCAGTTCTTAACAGTTATTCCCTGGTTTTGTTTTTTCCTTACTGGGCAATTAGTACTCCTTTTTTTTTTTAAAAGAAGCCAGAATATTTCATTTACATCATTAACTGCAGTGTATATTGTTTTGATATTTTGCATTAAACCACATGTTTATTATTTTGCTTTTGTAAAAAATAAGTAAAAGTTCCACATTTTCTCTCTCATACCAGCCACGTTTGTAATTCTCTTTTCTATAATGTTTAAGCATGATGGTGAACAAATTCACATTTTTATGTGGTTTGGACGGGATTAATATTGACTATTTCTGAAGCAGATGGTTTCAGAGGCTTATTGTTTTCTCTATATTTACCTGATATTTTATAACCTTTATGAATTAGAATAATGTCCTTCACAAATTTGTTTAATTAAAGTTATGTACTTGTAACAGGACAGATACACAACTATTTGAAGTTTACAAACTACATCTTTGATAAGGGAAATGGTTTCGTGACATGTATACAATTGCTATTAGGTGTAACTCTATATATTCTATAAGATTGTAAATATTTTATACAACAATACAAATAAAATATTTTTCTATTATATTTATTATGTTGAAACACAGTAGCTGTTTCCTGTTAGCTAATATAAACAACATAAATAACACTGTCAAACAAAAAGTTGGAAGTGATGACAATTCTAGGCTTCAAGATTTAACTCATTCTGTAATTACACTTTTTTGTGTGGTTTGGAGTTATTCCAATATTTGTTCAGCAGATTAAAATGGGAGCATATTTAAACACCATTTATATGCCATTATTTTGTATTTTACTAAAGCAGTTTATATAATAGTTTCATTATGTTTGGCATAAAGGAAAAATAAAAATATTGCAGTGTATAGGCAAGAGAGTGTCAGAAACTACTTAGGATAGTTCATCTCTCAAAGTCTTGGGAAGTGTAGGGATAGGAGACATTACAACAAGTTGGAAATCTGAAAAGTGGCAGTTCACTTTTGGTGACAGTGGCATGTGCATGCTTCAGTGGAAAAGATCTGGTGATGAAAATGGACAACAGAAGATGAGGGCTTCTACAGGAGGAAAGGGGGACTGAAAATAAGAAAAGTGGGTGTTAATGTCCAGCACTAATATTACAGATTTTGCATCTTGGATCTTTCTTTGCATTTGCAGTAGATAAACTCATGAGCTGATGACCAGTGATTTCTGCCATGGTGCCTAGAGAAATAGCTACAGGGTCAGTGTAAATGACTTCTAAAATGACATCCTGGGCATGGTGGTAAACCACCACCCCATCTTCTTCTCTGCAGGTCAGAAATTCATTATCCTGGGAATTTAGTTGAGGGAGGCACTGTTTACAAAATTCATCTCCTAGAGATCCCACAGGGGCAATGACCAGAATCACATAATGATAAGCAGTGTACACACAGTAGAAGTCCCTGAAGTATAGGTTAGTATTGGGGTTAAAAAGTTTTTCTGCTGCAATCTCAAACCTCTATCTTCCATAAGGTGAATCCTGGGTGGCTTCCCAGTATTGATTTCAGTGCTGCAGCTGAAGGAAGTGAAAGTGAAAGTCCTCAGTCGTGTCTGACTCTTTTCGACCCCATACAGTCCATGGAATTCTCCAGGCCAGAATACTGGAGTGGGTAGCCTTTCCCTTCTCCAGGGGATCATCCCAATCCAGGGATCAAACCCAGGTCTCCTGCATTGCAGGTAGATTCTTTACCAGCTGAGCCACAACGGAAGCCCAGCTAAAGATGGCTTCTAATTTTCAACTGATAGGAGAGCCATGGCTGCCACTGCTATTCTTGACGGAGAATTCCCATGATGTTTTCAAATATAGTCAAACTATTCTTTGTGCTGGTTATGATAAAAAACAGAAAATTTGAACATCTGTCCTGCAATCACTTTGGCCTTCTCTAACAGTTGTGTTAGATGAAATTTTGAATAGTCTGCTGTGTACAATTCTATAATTTCACTCCATTCAGCCACAACATAATCACCACCAACTTGTTTTGAGGCACTCTGCACTGCTATTGAGGTGCTGAGAGAGGCCATCTGAGGGCAGACAGACTGAAACCACAGTCACAGAAAAGTAACCAATCTAACCACATGGACAAAGTTTTTGTCTAACTCAATGAAACTAAGCCATGCCATGTAGGGCCACCCAAGATGGACAGGTCATGGTGGAGAGTTCTGACAAAATGTGGTCCATTGGAGAAGGGAATGGCAATCCACTTCGATATTCTTGCCTTGAGAACCCCATGCACAATATGAAAAGGCAAAAAGATGGGACACTGAAAGATGAACTCCCCAGGTTGGTCAATGCCCAATATGTTACTGGAGATCAGTGGAAAACAATTCCAGAAAGAATGAAGAGATAGAGCCAAAGCAAAAACAGTACCCAGTTGTGGATGTGACTGGTGATAAAAGCAAGGTCTGATGGTGTAAAGAGGAATGTTGCATAGGAACCTGGAATATTAGGTCCATGAATCGTGGCAAATTGGAAGTGGCCAAACAGGAGATGGCAAGAGTAAACATTGACATTTTAGGAATCAGCGAACTAAAATGGACTGGAATGGGTGAATATAATGCAGATGACCATTATATCTACTACTGTGGGCAAGAATCAATTAGAAGAAATGTAGTAGCCATCACAGTCAACAAAAGAGTTTGAAATGCAGTACTTGGATGCAATCTCAAAAACAACAGAATGATCTCTGTTCGTTTCCAAGGCAAACTATTCAATATCAACGGTAATCCAAGTCTATGCCCCAAACAGTAATGCTGAAGAAGCTGAAGTTAAATGGTTCTATGATGACCTACAAAGTCTTTTACAACTAACACCCAAAAAAGATGTCCTTTGCACTATAGGGGACTGGAATACAAAAGTAGGAAGTTAAGAAACACTTGGAGTAACAGGCAAATTGGGTCTTGGAGTACAAAATGAAGCAGGGCAAAGGCTAATAGAGTTTTGCCAAGAGAACACACTGGTCATAGCAAAAACCCTCTTCTAACAACACAAGAGAAGACTCTACACATGGACATCACCAGATGGTCGACACCAAAATCAGATTGATTATATTCTTTGTAGCCAAGGATGGAGAAGCTCTATACAGTCAGCAGAACAAGACCAGGAGCTAACTGTGGCTCAGATTATGAACTCCTTATTGTCAAATTCAGATTTAAATTGAAGAAAGTAGCGGGAACCACTAGGCCATTCAGGTATGACCTAAATCAAATCACTTACACTTATACAGTGGAAGTGACAAGTAAATTTAAGGGACTAGATCTGATAGACAGAGTGCCTGATAAACTATGAATGGAGGGTCCTAATGTTGTACAGGAGACAGGGATCAAGACCATCTCCAAGAAAAATAAATGCAAAAAAGCAAAACAGCTGTGTGAGGAGGCCTTACAAATATCTGTGAAAAGAAGAGAAGCAAAAAACAAAGGAGAAAAGGAAAGATATATTCATTTGAGTGCAGAGTTCCACAAAATAGCAAGGAGGGATAAGAAAGCCTTCCTGAGCAATCAGTGCAAAGAAATAGAGGAAAACAATAGAATGGGAAAGACTAGAGATCTCTTCAAGAAAATTAGACATACCAAGGGAATATTTCATGCAAAGATGGGCTCAATAAAGGACAGAAATGGTATGGACCTAACAAGCAGAAGATATTAAGAAGAGGTGGCAAGCATATACAGAAGATCTATACAAAAGATCTTCACGACAGATAATCATGATGGTGTGATCACTCACCTAGAGCCAGACATCCTGGAATGTGAAGTCAAGTGGGCCTTAGGAAGCATCACTATGAACAAAGCTAGTGGAGGTGATGGAATTGCGGTTGAGCTATTTCAAATCCTAAACGATGAACCTGTGAAAGTGCTGCATGCAATATGCCAGCAATTTCGTAAAACTCAACAGTGGCCACAGGACTGGAAAAGGTCAGTTTTCATTTGAATCCCAAAAAAAGGCAATGACAAAAAATACATAAATTACTGCACAATTGCACTCATCTCACATGCTAGTAAAGTAATCCTCAAAATTCTACAAGCCAGGCTTCAGCAATACATGAACTGTGAAATTTCAGATGTTCAAGCTGGTTTTAAAAATGGTAGAGGAATCAGAGATCAAATTGCCAACATCTGCTGGATCATGGAAAAAGCAAGAGAGTTCCAGAAAAACATATATTTCTGCTTTATTGACTATGCCAAAGCCTTTGACTCTGTGGATCACAATAAACTGTGGAAAATTCTGAAAGAGATGGGAATACCAGACCACCTGACCTGCCTCTTGAGAAATCTATATGCAGGTCAGGAAGCAACAGTTAGAACTGGACATGGAACAACAGACTGGTTCCAAATAGGAAAAGGAGTATCTCAAGCCTATTTATTGTCACCCTGGAGTTTAGCTTCAACATCAGTCCTTCCAATGAACACCCAGGACTGATTTCCTTTAGGATGGACTGGTTGGATCTCCTTGCAGTCCAAGGGACTCTCAGAGTCTTCTCCAACACCACCGTTCAAAAGCATCAGTTCTTTGGCACTCAGCTTTCTTTATAGTCCAACTCTCACATCCATGCATGACCACTGGAAAAACCATAGCCTTGACTGGATGGACTTTTGTTGATAAAGTAATGTCTCTGCTTTTCAATATGCTATCTAAGTTGGTCATAACTTTCCTTCCAAGGAGTAAGCATCTTTTAATTTTATGGCTGCAATCACCCATCTGCAATGATTTTGGATCCCAGAAAAATAAAGTCAGCTTTGTTTCCACTGTTTCCCCATCTATTTGCCATGAAGTGATGGAACTGGATGCTATGATCTTAGTTTTCTGAATGTTGAGCTTTAAGCCAACCTTTTCACTCTCCTCTTTCACTTTCACACATAAAAAAAATAAAGGAAGATGTAACAATCAGGAAACACATTAAAAGTATGATGATTTACATTTATGTAACAGATGATTTACATATATTTAAGAGATTCCAATCATTATTAATTAATAGTTTGTATTATGAGGCTTATAAAATAAATAATTCTATCTCTTTGCCTAATATATTGACATAGCATTATGGATGTGTTCTTCACACTGTAGCCTGAGAATTCTCATGTATCATCAGAACACTGATATTTATACAAAGCAAAGTTTCAGAGCAACATGTGGCTCTTGTTATCCAATGATCTATTACAAAAATCTCTGCTGACTGATAGTCAATTTGTATATATTGTAGGGAATTTAATAAAAATAAAGTCATCCTCAACATTAGGATATTTTGATTGCCTCTCCAAATTAATTTATTAAAATTTTTGCAAGTATAAAACCTGATCACAAGTTGTAAATAAATAAAAGCCTTTAAGCTGTTAGCTTATGTATGCATTGACTGCTTTATTCAGAATCAGTTAAGACATATTAATTCATTTATTGGACATATAGATGTAAAAGAATGAAATTAGAAATTTTCTAACACCATGTACAAAAATAAACTCAAAATGGTTTAAAGCCATAAATGTAAGATGAGATACTATAAAACTTTAAAAATAAAACTTTGACAGAACATTCTTTGACATAAATCATAACAGTATGTTTTCGAACTAAAAAAACAAAGGAACTAAAAACAAAAATAAACAAATCAGGTCTAATTAAATTTGAAAGACTTCACACAGCAAATAAAACTATCAACAAAATAAAAGGACAGCCTACTGAATGGGAGAAGATATTTGCAAATAATATGACCAATAAGTGGTTAATATAAAAAAATATATAAATAGCTCATCAAACTCAACAACAAGAAACAAAACAAACACACATACACATGCACATACTCACACATACACACACAACTTGATTAAAAAACAGACAGAAGACCTGAAGAGACATTTTTACAAGGAAGACATACAGGTGTCCAAAAAAGCACATGAAAAGATGCTCAACATTGTGAATCATCACAGAAATGTAAGTTAAAACCACAATAATACATCACTTCACACCTATAAGAATGACTATCATCAATGTAAAAACATATAACAAATTTTGGCAAGAATGTGGAGAAAAGGTTATTCTCATACACTCATACACTGTTACACTCATAAACTCATACACATTGGTGGGAATGTAAGTTGGTACAACCACTGTGGAAAGCAGGATGGAAGTTTCAAAGAAACTAAAAGAACCACCACTATGTGACTCAGAAATTCCACTTCTGCGTATGTATCAGAAAAAGATAAAAACACTAATTTGAACAGCTTCATGCACCCAAAAGTTCACAGCAGCATTATTTACAATTGCCAAGATAATGAAGCCACCTAAGTGTTCCTTAACAGATAAATGGATAAAGAAAATTTGAAACACACACACACACACACACACACATAAAGGCATACTGCTCAGCTATAAAACAGTATGAAATTTTGTACTTTTCAATGCCATGGCTGCACAAGGAGGATATTATCCATATGAAATAAGTCAGATATATGAAGACAAATACTGTACAT